TGACACTACCATATGCGTTCCCTCCCTGTCTTCGCAAAGAATGCAAGCATTTGCATGAACGGGGTCCGAGACATGCACCTTGTTCCAGGACTGAGTGTACGACCTTCGGATAAAATGCGTTGTCAACTTCCTGCTCCTGCTACTGCTGCCCTCTGGTGCAACGCATTAGCCACAGGTTGTCAGTCTCATTGACCATGCCACTTGACTTCTGGCGCACGAATGAAAGTCACGCCTCATGTCTCTGGAATACCCTCTCCACTTTACTCTTCGTGGGAAGCTGCTCTCCTGAGCTTTGGACACGCTGACGAAAGACCATGTCACGCCAACATTCCACTTAGCAAATTGTCGCCAAGCCCATCTGCAGCATGCTTTGTACGAATGCGAGGGAATTGTCTTGACAAGTCTTCTCTCATTCTTCCACCGTGCCATCGCTGAGAACGCCAAAGTAAAGCCACTTTAGAAAGAGCAAGTGTGCACTAGCTTTGGCAAGGAATTGGAAATGGCAGACGAACGCACAAAATGCCAAAATTGGGCTGGAAAAGAATTCTTCCCCGTCCTACCCATGCCGTTCATTCGCACAACGTGGTATCCATTCTCTACTGCACAGCAGCACATCTGATCGGCATTCCTATACGCTTCCACACAACCTGCTAGGAAGGATGCTAGCACGCAAATGCCGACGACAAGCATCCGTTTCACCCACGTACTTTCCACTTCCTCCCTCCGCTTGAATTGTGCAGCATAAAAACGAGCAACTTCTGCATCCTCGTAAATCGCCTCCCAAATCCGCGTGTGTCCCACCGAGAGCTCGTGTGCGTTACGCCCTTCCCCACCTCCATTCCACTCTGCATTCGCAGATACCACAAAACCACTTTGTCAGACTGACGAAGTGGTAAGAAAACAACCCCGCCATCATCCTCAAACACCGCGGTCTCTACTACACCAAGTTGAAGAAGAGATCGTGTGGCTGACTTTGCAAACAATGACAGCCTTCATTCTTCTCAGGTGGCTCTTAGTACCCTGTTTGCCCTTCATAAAGAAGGAGGAAAGCACCTGTTTCCTAGTTTGGGAGGGGTGGGAAGCACTGATGTCTCAGGAGGTGAAGGTTTCTCCACTCTACGACAGCTAACAACACTACACTATCTGCATACGGTCTGCATGCAAGACCACTCTTCTTCCTCTTCTTCTCCCTCTTCTTTTCCTTCTCCTTCTCCTTCTCCTCCACGCGTTCCCACCCCCAATCGAGGAAGACAACCCCTGCCAACACCTAGCACTACTAAATAGGCAAGTAGTATCGCATGACCAATTGTGTATTAGCTTTGACAGTAGTCCCTCGGCCATGTCACATGTAGCTGCTTTCTCTCACGCCGCCCATACTTCAAGCACACTCAATGGTGCAGCAGATGAAGGATTTCGACCCCACCAGCATGTAGGGAACAGAACAGCCTCGACTCAAATTGCTGCTGTCAAAACCACCTCACGCATTCGTCGGTGCCAAAAGACCATGCTTTCATCCTCTCTCCGTTTGACTCGCCACATGCCTTCGTAGCAGCACTTCGTCCGACATTCCTTCTCCACTGTTACTGCGCAGTTGACGATTAGGAGCAACGGTCTCCCATTCCGACGACACACCAACGCAGCTTGTGTAAAACCCGTGGTACCACCTGCACCACATCCTCCACCCTACATCCTCGTAATATGGCAAAGTGTTGCACAATTCAGTGGGTCAGCACCGCCTACTGTGTCACTAAAAGACAACCAATTCGGTGTGATTGATTACGCAACCCAGACCGATGTCATCTCCAACGGTTCTTCCAACTGTTGCTCAACTCCTCCCAACAGAAAGCCTCTTCTAGACGAGGTCCTCATTCGAAGGGATGGAAAAGCACTCACCGCACATTTGAGTCTCTAAACGCATTCACTTCGGAAGGAAACCGCCTCTGTTTACTCTTTCCCATAATACGTCCACCGTCTTCACCAAGGCTTTGTGGCGGCACAATTGACGACAGACAGTCCTGACGTTGGAGTCCACGCTTACGCACTCGTAAGTGAGTAGCCTTCACAACTGGTCCTTTCAACCCACATTGACAAGAGTGCGGTCCACGCAGTCCTCTCCTACCACAATCGCTCATCCACAGTCAAGTGACAAGTCGAGCTGTGAGGAAGTCAGAAAAGTGGCTTTAATTCAACCGCCTTATATGCACACCAGAGAGGTAGCACTAGCATGAAAGCTGTCACAAATACCAAACCACTCCAGTCCCACCGATTAAGTCGAAGATGAACACCATCGCGGATAGTAGTGAAATTCCCAAGCCTTCCAACACCCAGCCACTTGCGAAATCCACTTAGTGAATCCAATTTAGCCAAGAAATTTCCTCCATTTACACACTTTGGTGTGAATGCACTTCGTCTCACGTACCACGGTGCAGCAATCACCGACCACTTCCACTTTGCTGAAGCCACCTTATCTTTTTCGCAGATTTGGCTAACCGTGATGGCAGTCCTTCATCTCCTCCCTCTAGGTACTTTGTCAATCCACCAACTTTGGAGATACGTGGCAATCAGGCGGATGGAGGGATCTGGTGAAATGTTCGGCTTTTACCAATGCGAGGACACACCACATGAGGAAGTGCTTGTTTGGAGGGTGGGACGTCGGTCTTGTCGAGGCTACACTTTGCAATGTCCCATTATTAAGACGATGAGTGAATGCGCTCCTGTGGAGGAATGACAACCAAAGTCACCTCTTGACTGGTTATTGAGCTCAAGTAACAATAAACGAGAGAGACAATATTAGCAAAAGGGAGACAAAGATGAGACTGGAGACGAGGAGGCGGACGTTCATCCGTGATGTTGGCACGTTATTAATTGCGAACACGCACCGAAGGAGGACGCCAACCTTGAGAACCACTTCAAATCCACCTTGGCTTCTTCCACCCCAGGTCACCTCTCGCCTGACTTACAGTGCAGCATGACAGGGCTACTGCCACGAACCACGCTTCCCCATCTCCAAGCACGGTGCGCTTTTGACAGTTAGCCAACTGTCGGTGGGCGCAGGTCCAGGTTAACATCCATTTCTAAGTAGCAAATGGGGGTTTTTGATTAGCCCATAGATGAAGAATGACTTTTCCCATATTTAGAGGTAAAAGATGGTGGTGGTCCCGTGTATGCGAATACATTCCAGATTGTGCGCGAGTGGAGGAGATTCGCCCATTCCCGAATTGTGTCTTCTCTGGTGCTACCGGCTTCGGTATACTGTGTTCTGTTCACCCACGGCCAGGTGAGTCACCAAATGTGGCATTTTGCCACGTTCAAGAGGCAGAGCCTTCGTCTGACCCCTTTACTACAAACAAACACACTCGCATTCACACTGCCTTTCTACTGCCACCCTGCCCCTGCCCCCATCACCTCCACCCACCTCCAATGTGAGACACAGAATGCAGCTGCGGATCCAATGGACACACTATTTAACAACGAGAGGGCGAACCGTCACAACAGTGGAGAAGTTAAGTTAAGTGGAGGAGCAGCACGTGTTTTCTAATCTGATTCAGCAATTTTTCACATCTACTCATGCAGTCAAGACACAGTGAATCCACATTGTGCAGTCTGTTTAAACCGGGGCATATCACACACCTTGGTTGGCTGCATTCTCACTCGCTCGTCGGTTGCACCAAGCATTCAACGTGACACTATCCTTTCAATGCCAAAATTACACCCGAGAGTGGCATGACGGAGCATCGAAAGCACATGGTTCTCCCCTTCACTCGCCATCTCCACTCCTTATGAATAAGTCAAAGGCCATTATCTGCAGTGGCTTCACCACTGTGATGCGGTGAACAATCAGATGGCTCATGCACTCCGTTGTCGCCGCCCCGCTTTCTACGCGGGATGACGAGAGGAGGCAGAGAAGTCGAGGCGAGGGAGGAAGGGGGGGTTATTTACAGTCGATGTGGCAGTGATTTCCTCAGTATCCTTCTCTCCATGATGTCTGATGTCGGAGGAATCGCCTGTCCAAATGCGCCTTTGATAAATCACACCGTGAGGTGACTCGACACTGCAATATGTCGTGACTTCAAGGTTGTGCCGATCACGTGGGTGGGCTGAGCACTCACCAGAGTCGTGAAAAATGCTTCACCGCAGCAACGACAAGTCGCGTTTAGCATGATGTATTGCCGGAACCAGTCCACACATCCAGAATGCATCGCAAGCAATGAAGTGCGGAACCCACTTCCACGACTTAGGAGGAGGCATTTTATGCACACAGCCGACACAATTTACTGTGGTAGATGTCATGCCACCAGCAGGCTAGTCCTGGCAGGCAACTCACATCTCCTCAACTGTCAGAGTGTGGCAGTGTGAATGCACAAGAACAGTGTCACCTTGAGTTGTGGAGGGGGGATTGTCACCCCAGCATCGTGCCATACTTGTCCAAGGGGCATCACAGATGGGCAGCCGCGCCGCAGGTCTGCATTCCAGATGCTGTGCCCATTCTCGCCACAACATTGTGTCGAGGAGGCATAACGAGTACAGAGTAGTCGGCGGGTATTGTGCACATCTTCATTCTATTGACAGAAAGCGGTTGTACCAACGAGCAAGCAATTTGGTCACAATCAACTTTACCAACCGGACTTCGGAGCATGAAGTCATCCCGGGGGTGGACTATGCACCACAGTGTGGCATTGTGGTTGTAGGATGTGAGTGCAGTGCTCCGCCACTGCATTGCAGACACGGATGACTTTGCCAATGATGCTGCAAGAGATGCAAGCACTTCATTGCCTCACTATTGCTACCATTATATACTCGCGCCATCGTTCGATGCGCCAGCACACTGCCTGGGCTTCTCGTTTGGTCAGGTGGGAAGTCGACAACCACAGATGACGAGTCTGCCACACTGTTTGGGAATTAATCCTGCCCCTGTGTCTGACGCAATCGTCACTTGAGTGGAATGGCCATAGGCAGAGAACGACTTTGGTGCTGCTTGCGATTGAGGGCAGCACAACAAGTCACGACGTATCATTTCGTACACAACATTTCGTACCAACAATCGCCTTGATTGGAAGATAGCTCAAACCAAAGGCCAGCAGGATGAAAAGAACTACGTACAAGGTGGGAGGGTATTGGCGCGAGCCATGAATGAAATGAAATCCATGTGAAGTCGTCAGTGATGGTGCATCTCCTACTCTCCATAATCTCTCAGCAGCCATTTCAATATCACCGCCACCACCATTCGTGTAATCACGAACTGCAATTTTATCTGCACCACAGCACAATTCTCTGCTTTCATCGAGGCATCGAATCGTGGCGAAGGGATGAGTCAAGATGCCAGGTACAAACTGAGTAGGTCTTGCACCACCAGGCTCTGCATTTGTGATAGTAATGGTGGCCATAGACACGGCATACGCAACACTGCGTGTAGGAGAAAAGCCACTGATCTATGCAATCTGGAGGATGTATAAATTACTGTAAAATCACCAACCCATTCGTCTGGTGATATCTCGAGTTAAGCATTCTTCAGGTTGGTGCTGCAATGGTGCATGCCAGCCTCGGAGGCGTCTTAAACGTGCGTCTCCCCGTTTCTCCGCAGTACACGCACGTTGCATCCACCACGTCCTCAGCGTCAAACCATGGTCACCGCCACCTCTTTTCCTGCTGCCGTTTCATTGCACTGTATTGCGGCCACTGCCAGACTGGCCTAATTGGAGGAAGTGGCCACAGCGGTCCGAATCACCTTATCCACCACGCATGGATTGTGCCGCCCCACACACTGATTCACGCACTTCAATCGATGTGATGTGTGTGAATCAGCTTGCACACCCATTGGACCGCTCACATTCATCTACACTCGATTCACCATCGTCATGTCCATTTTTGCAGGCGACTACGAGCATTTCATGACGAAGCGTTTCAAGTTGTCCGTGTTAGCATTTGGCATTGCGGAAACACGATTGTATAGCAAAGGCACCACCACCGGGACAAAGCAAGGGGGATGAGAGACGTGGAGTCAAGTAATGTCGGCATTCAAGAGAGGTAGAATCCACCAGCTGTACTGGCGTAGTGCTGCCACCATCCAGAGGCAAGAGGATCTAACAAAGCCAGACTAATGCTTGGACGAGCAATTTGGCAAAGGATGAATCCATTTGGTTTGAATGGGTAGACGGATGGATGGGATGGACGGGTAAACAAATGAATGCAGTGAGAAATGAACTAGTGAATTAAAATTAGGTAAGAAAAGAAATGTGGCAGCTGACCGATGGAGAATGTACTGTTTCAGGCATGAAGAGAAACGTAGATTACCGACCCACTAGCTGCACGTAGGATAATCATCCTCCCACACGCATACTTTCCGCCCCCTTTCTCCCCACCCCTTCCCCCCTCCCTGTGTTGGTGGCTTTACGAGCGTGCAAAGTCCACGTCGATGATTTCAAAGTCACCGTCTTCTCCCACTTGCACCCACGCAATGCCCCAACATACCGGGTGTGAAGTCCACGTCCGTGAGGGCCCAGGACTTCATGCACAAAGTAGTCAAGCGGGTGCGCACACGTGACAAGCGAAGCGCTTGTGGCAGATGAGATGCACCTCAACTCTGGCACTGTCTCCCACAAGTAGTACTTCTCCAGAGTGAGATGTTGCGTACTTGCGGAAGGCAAATAGCACACCCTACTCGAGTCTCGCTCGAGGCAATCACGCCCATTTTCTGTCTCCTTTAACTTGCCAATAAATGAAGTCACTAGTTGAGAAGAGATGGCGAAGGGAGGCGTCCATGCACTCACATACACTCCCACTCCACTCACTGTGAGGACGCCCAAAACGACGCCTTCAATCACGGGAAGAGCAGTCAGACCAAACCACTTAGAAGCTCGTCACCTCACTCACGTAACTGCCTTCCACCCAATCACCGTGAAGTGCAACGCCTACGCACTGAGAAAGCCACTACGCACCCACACTCACCCACACGCACTCACATGCACGCACGAATCACATAACGCCTTTACCATCCTACTATCGACCGAGTCATCGACCAATCAACCAACTAGTCGTACTGATGGGTGGTGTTGCAAATTCCACCCAAATGCATGGCCATGGCTATCATCATCATTTGTCCGGCAGCGCTTGTATGCATGCGTGCAAGAGAGGAAGAGTTGGCTGCCATGTTTGGCTAGGAGGCGAATGCCCTGTTTTGGCAGCAGAGTGGTGGGTGACCCACCTACTCATTCGCCTATGCGCCAGTAGTTGAGTGGCCTAGTCACTGCTACTGCCTCCTACCGCTTCCGTAATGCGGTGGCACTTGAGGTTGTGCTCAGTGATTTCATTTCCACATTGCTGGTGAGGCAAATGTGGCACCAAAACTGACACAAATTCATTTTCCACCCATACCAAATGAGAGCGCTTGAAGGAGATTGACATTTTGATATGGCTTTGCTGAAAAGCACCAATCTTGGTGGGATCCAGTTGTCATTTCTAAATGACATTGCAAGCACTGCATTCACGCTTGTGTTCATCCATCGCTGCATGCACGGGGCCATTCTCCTAATCCCGAGGGAAGAGCCGCCAACCCAACTGACAGATCGCAACAGATGTGGTGTACGCGCAGTGCTCACACCCCTCGTGCTGCAGCATGTGGGTGAGTGGTGGGAGGAATGAACTCACCCGCCCACCCACTCAGTGAGCCAGTCGATGAGGCTGCCAAAAACAGTAATTCACCACCTCGCCTTTCTCTCTCCCCCTTTGCCTTCCTCCTATTCACTCAAGTGCATGGCGCTGAATCCAGTCACCCACCCTCACACGGCTTTGCACTAACCAGGCTGACGCAGTGTTGGTGGCGATGTTGGTGTTGGCACCAATAACTGACAGGTTGTAGTTACGTCTGCTACCGCTCCTCATCAGCAGATGTGGAGGCACACTGCCACACACATTCACATCTCATTCTCTTCCACCCAACCCAACCCAACCCCACACCACTCCACTCCAATCCACTTCTACTACCGTCGCCACTCGGCACACATTGGAAGACACACAGAGGGGAGAGTAGATGCCATCACTACCGGTTGTTGTCTTATCACTGCTGCATCGACGCCCATCTCACCTCCACTTTCGGCTCCAGCAATGCCAATGTACATGGTCACTAAGACGGGCGGTATGTCGTCGCTTTCGCTTATCGGAGCTTTAGCCCAATTTCCTGAGGCGTCTGCATTCTCCACCTCTCCTTGCAGAGGAACTCATGTACAGGTCAAATGGAGAAGTCCCAGGGTCACATTATCCAGTCCCCTCGCCTTAGTCATTTCGGTTAGCCACACTTTGCTTTTGCCACTTTATTGTCCTTTTTAAGACAGCGCCACTGGTAGGGTCTGTTTCCCTCCAAAAACACGATGTTAGCGCCTGATACTTCATGTGACCAGATGCCACTGGTAAGTCCACTTCTAATAGGCATGCTAGCACAGGGAGCTGGTTAAGACTAATCGGGAGCCCTTCATCAGCCGTAACGACTAATTACTCGTGGCAACAGACCTGCTTACTGGAAAAAGAAGTGCTGCCAACAGCTTGGGGGGAGGGCTTTGAAGCGCACTCCATGAAGGCGACCTGCCCTACAAGGTGTCCCCATCTTGGGTCTGCAGACTGGCAGAGGCGAAGCGGAACAAATGCCTACTTCGTCGCCTCTTTGTGTGTGCTTGCAAGTGATTGAGTAAGTGGTTGCGAGTGTGGGCGTAGAATCGCAAGTCTCTCAACCACACTCGACTCGACTGAGGGACCGCACACACTCGGTGGGTGGTCCTTTGGGTGCCGCTGATGCATCGATTTGTGGCGCGTGCTTGTTTGGGGGCGCCCCCAAAGGTTGCTCTTTCTCTCTCTCTCTTGTAGCGTTGCCATTGATACCCTTTTTTGTGGAAAGCAAACCGAAGCCTCATCCACTTTAGTGGGATGTTGTATTGGCAAGTTATGCGAAAGGACACGCGAACAGCTCGCTGTGCAGTTCACTCGCAAACGAGCTACCTATTAGGGCATTTGAAAGCATGTACTAATTGGGTAAACAATGAGAAAATGTACACCCTCTAGGGCATTTCATGTGGCCCAAAGTGCTGATGAGATAAACAAGATGGAAATCGCAGATTGTTTTTGTCGTCTGCATCACAGATTGTTTGCTTTAAGAGAAATCCTTCAACTACAAATATTACCCAGAAATATTTAATTTAGCCACAGAATCCGTAAAGTTGGTGTGGCACAAATCACAAATTTCGAGGGAGTAAAAGCAGACGAAGGAGGAGCTGGAGATTTTCCCCTTCGTCGCCTAAAGGATGCCATTCATAAGTGCCTCTGTGCCTGCAATTTCGATGCCCCCTTGCCTACACTGCCATTATACTACCAACACATTAACGTACGACTACGAAAACCACTCAGAGAATAGACCCACCAATGACGAAAGTGATGGTAATGGTAGCAGCATTAATTCTTTCTCGTCACCTCTTTTTGCGCAACCTCAACTCGGAAAAGAGTCGTTTAAAAAGAGGGGTTAGGGACTGCAAGCTGTTTCAGGTCTGAAAGACGTTTTTTTGGATTTCTTTTTTTCAAGAGAAGGGTTTCTTGCAATTTGTAACTATCACCGAAGAGTACCGACACCTTACACTGTCTTTTTCAACCCAATTTAACTCTGCAATAGCCTTTCAAATGTTTGAATAGTTCCACTTCAGCTTTGGATCATTTTAGGAAATGCCTTCCGTTTTGAAAACACCCCAATGGGTCTCTTGTGAGGCAAATTGCTGTGGACAGACTCGTCAAGCGCCTGAAGTCATGTCTGACGCGAGTTTTATGAACTATCTCAGCTAAGAAGAGGATCGTGAATGTCTCCTACACTGTCAGGTGATATTATATCAAGAAACTAGACTTGCCCTTCTTAATCCTTACACCTCATAAGTACTGCTTATTGACAGACCTATCAAGAGGATATGATTCTTATATTCAAACGTTTGTGAAGTGAACAAACAATAGGATCAATTACCCCAAAAGCACTTCTGGACCACTCACCACTTCTGTTTAGAAAACCACGCTTGTCTTTTCTGTTGTGTGTGATGATGTGATAAACAAATAAATGAATGAATAAATAACTAAATTTCTCACTAAATGCCAAGCAATTTGTATCTGACATCCACCAAGTGCATGCAATACAAAACAACGGCATCGAGGCGAAGGAAGTCCTTTGCATGAGAAGTAGACAGAAAGTGAAGTGGTCCAGTAAGGAGTGCAAAATTATCCACCTCTGCTCCCGTGACCGTGCAAGACCTTATGCCACAATACTGACCCGCGAGATTTGCATTCACTCCTCTTTTATGTTTCTGCACATCATTTCACCAGCTGAGAAATCTCCTCTCGGGGCTAAAAAATCACGAGATAAATTAGACGACAATTACTTCAAATCTTGCCGCGTTGAGAAACAGGCGGCGGATTTGCCATTAAATGGATAGCTACCGAAGAGGTCAGGCTGTGAATTTTCGCGCTGGACATTTCGCTTTAATGATCGACAAATTTGCTTTGAGGTTGACCGTTTTCCTTCAGGCAGCAGGTTAACTAATTAGTGAAGTGCGCACTTATGTTACCGTCTTTACTCCGACGTGACAAAGCTTTAACATAAAATTTTCACCTTTTCGGAGTGATTTGAAAATCCGATGGCCATCTGACACACCACACGATAGGCCATGAACACTCATTATCCTCTGCTTCCATTTCTTTGGTGTGTTAGTACACATGAGTTAAGAGGGTGGAAAGAGGGATTGGATCCGCGGAATGATTTGCATGACTGTGGCAACAGGAGTCCTCCCCGAAGCCATACCGGCATTAAAGAAGAAGCTATTGACAGGCACGACATGACAGTAAGGTAACACTGTCAAGTCAAAGGCACAAATAAAGGAGACTGGTGAGCTGGTGTAGGTAAAGAATATTAGACCACAACATGGTAACTTGCTTTGTTTCATCGTTATGCTTAGCACTCCTTGCGATCATTGGACAAGGACCGAAGGTGACGCAACATATCCATATCATGAAGTCAGACCCAGATTTTCGAATACCTCGTTCTTATCAAGGTAAAGTGACTCAAAAAAGAGTCTGTTTGGGCCAAAGTGCTTAAGACTGATTGACATTTGTTCTACAGGAGACCTGCTTCCTTTCTACATTCAGCAGTCAACTAGCACACTCTAAGGCAACGATCAAATCGGTTCGTTTGGAGAAACATGGCCTAATGATGATGTGATGAAGCTTGATCTCGCCCTCAAGATGGAGGAACCACGTAGCCAGTTTCCCAGACTCTTTCGCCTACTTCATATGCACAGATTTAGCAAATGGGATTTACTTCAAACTGATAAGCAGTACTATAAATTACGACGATTTAATAGCCCACGCAGCAGCCTGAACATCAAACACATGTCAATTTACTTTGCAGAATTATTCTACAACTTAATTTTTCAGACGAGAGTAACAGATAAATGAACCTTTTTAAAAAGATCCGATTACTGTGAATGTGAGCAACCATTGAATGGCTATATTTCTTGACCTTACAAAGCCTAATTAACTCGATGTAAGGCCTACATAAGTGCTGGGCTTTCTATTCCACGAGATGAATTATCCAACACACCTTTACCTTTGCATTTGACAAAGCAACATAGCAAAGGCGAATATTACCGAAAACAAGTAGAGCAGAACGGACGGAACGACTTTTGCCGTTAACGGCGCTTTCAAGACAGACTGATAATCCACAGTTCCCAATTTGCATAAGGACCACTCTTTCCCTGTCGCCTTTAAAATACACCAAAAAAACCTATGTTCCTCCACCAAATGGAGAACAGACATGGTGGAGATTCATCCACTCTGTCCCCTGTGTACTTATAGGCGTTTTTATTAACAAGTAAATTACATGTGAAAAAAGGTAAACAGAACGAGAGGGAGGGGAAATGTGCCCAGCGGAAGAAGGGAAGAGAAATTTGACCATAAAAAAAGACATACGTGTACACACACCAAATGGGTGACATCAAAAGCAAATCACAGAATAGAGAAAAAAATAATCCGCATACAGACATCCTTACTGTCGTTAAAATAAGGTGGAGAAAAGGTCCTTGATGTCTTCCACCGGCCGGGAAAGAAGAAGGCCTCTTCCATCTCCCCTTTCAACGGCCTCTTCAAGGAGAGCTTTAAGGTAGTTACGCGACCGATTGTGATCCTTCACAGCTATCGGCGACAGGCCACACACTTCATTACCACCAAAAACGACTACAGAAGGAGTAGATGGGAGAGAAATCACCTTCTCTATCGTTCTATCTTCTTTCGCTTTATCCTTTCGAATTGTATGATGCTCCTTCTCGCATTCCACCCCCACCGAGTGAGTCCTCATCAATCCCATCCTGCTACAAGAAACGGATCGAAATGGGGGGAGAGGATAAGAAACAGGAGAAGAGGATGAGAGTGATGAGAGGTCGGTGACGGTGGTGGTGGTGCTTGGTGGTTGATAGGCCTCATCCGGGGTACTGGCGAGACTGCTGTAACCCGAAGAATTCCCTGAACTTGTTTCTTGCTCTGACTCTGCTGCGATTGAAGTAACGTTGCCATCATCGCTGAGGTATTCGACACAGAGGATTACCTCCTTCCCACTGCCGATGGCAAAGGCCGCCTCCATCTGCTCCACAATCCACAGACCTTGCCGGGAGATATGAAAGTAGAGACGGGAACAATGGCGCTGTACCGCCATGCTCAGCGCGAAATCACGCTTAGTGTGCTGACGGCACAATACCCAATTTGTAGTTGCGGTGGCGTTGGTAGCCCCCCTCTTCCCCTTAGAGTTGGCGTCTACCCTCTTCGGTGCCGTGCCACCGCAATAGAGATCGAATGTTAAGTCAGCGGTCACTTTTCTGTGGAAGGGAGAGTATTGGTAGGTGGCGAGCAGCTTTTTACCGGTCTAGAATGAAGGAGAATTAAATAATTTGAAAAGTGAATAGTCTCTCAGTCAACAACCTACCATATTTTGTGCCTTATCGTAAGGATCTGAATCAGCACCTTTCTACAAACAAGGAAACAAAAGCAGCAGGTAAAAGAATGCAAAAAAAAAAAACAGCTGAGAAGAACCACTCTTCTTCCACAAGAAAGCGTCGCAGTAGACGACAGCAAACACACCAATGCGAGTGCGAAACCGCATCACGTGACAAGGCTGGTGACAACAGCGGTTTTAATTGGCTCATGCTATTAACAAGACCAATACTAAGACTATCACAAAATCATTTCCAGTTTGCGTACTACTCTCTAGGAAACTTAGTGATTACCCTTTCAATAAAAAAGGCGAGTATGAAGGGGGTACGTGGAAAGATAGGTTAAATTTATAACTTCTTTTGGGGTAAAGGTAGGAAAAGCTAATGGTGGGATTAAACTTCCCATTCCTTCCAACTTCTCTTGGAGTTGTTTAAACAATTTATGGAGTCGCACCTGATGCGGCAATAGAAGAACTGAGGCGCAATAGACAATGATGAAGATGACGCCAGAGCCTCATGGTTATGCATTTGCGCGTACTCTAGTAAGTTAGGGAATTTGTGGGCTAATGAGGTTAAAAAATGGTGAAATTCCACAGTTCAGCACACAAATACACACAAAATCGTACGATGGTGTGTCTTCGTGTGTGAGTAGTCACCTGCGTGGGAGTGGCATGTGTATTTGGGTAGGCCTACTTGCATGCCTGACTTTATAGCTGGAAAAGTAATGAACAACATTCTCACCTTTTGCTTTCTTTTCATACTTTGCCTAAAAGTAAGACAAAAGGGAGAAGAGACAAATATATCATACACACACAAACGAGAAACGGACACGCAGCGTGTAAACAGCTGCAACTCACCTGTTTGAATGAGCGGCTGAATGTAGGCCCATGGCAACTTTCTGAAAATAAATCGAATAATATAGGAAAATTGGTAAATTTAAGCCACAAAATGAGAGCGAGAAGACGAATGGAGAGAGAGATGGAAGCAACCCACCTGACAAGATTGATAGAGCGCCTTGATGTGAAGGAGGGCATCTTCCAGTCGTTCGAAGAAACGCACATGGGAAAATCGTAGACCTTCCAACCATTGGTAGGCTGCCTTAATGCTCGCAGCTTCTCTGGAGAAGAAAAGGACATTGAAGGAGAGTCATGAACGATAATGGACGAGAAAAGCAAAGAAGCTCACGCCGGTGTGGCGTGGAAGATGGCGGGGCCACCAAGCGCTAGAGTGGATGGAGAGGGTCGGACAACAAGGAGGAGGCGAGAGGGGCGGTAAAAGCTTGAATTGTTGCGAAGATGAGAACGAGCAGCGAAATAGGCAACCTCCACGAGACTGGCTAGACCCCGTGTCAGATGGGGTTGGAAGACGAAGAGAAGGCAGCTAGCACGCTCCTTCGCTGCCGCCTCCTGCGCTATCAGCTCCGGACGCCACTCATCGAACTGCTGCTTAGCAATCAAGGTGACACAAATGCACATAAGAAGTTAGTTCACTGCAACTGCAGCTACTAAAAGTGCGCAACTACCACCGGCCTACGCAATAACAGTCCTCCCCCACTGCTTCTACTAATAGCCGGAAACACGCGGAGAAAGAGATAACTAATTTTAGCGGCAGCCATGGAAACTACAGACAAGAAATGACACGCAAAAGTAGAAACTGGATAACCTAAGTTTCGGTTTTCTTTAATGATTCAAGAGTATAGTGGGTGTAAGGAGGCTGTCATACCACAAGATTAACACTGGTGCCCACTTACGAATGCCTAAACTCGTTTAAGTAGATCAGAACGAACCTTAAAAAAAGTAAAGCTGTACACTTGATTTCGCGTGGACTGGTATGTGGTAATTATGCCTAACAAGTGGGGTGAACACCAAAGTTTCTCGAAAATTAACACCCACCCACACTCGCGCTCACAAGCCCGCATACACACACAAAGCGAGAGGCAGAAAGCGGGAGGTAGGCGTGCTTGTCAGAGGAATCAAAATGTTGCGTGACATCTTGAGTTATGTAGGAAGCAGCCATGACGGATTAGAGAAAGAGAAAAGTTCAGACAAAAAAACCGAGTTATATATATTAAATGGAAGGGGAGTTCTCAGATGGCGTTAATAAAAACCTACCGGATTAAAGTAAGGAATTCCGTTTGCCTCCAAAAAGGGTATGGCAATGTCTTTTCGCCACGTAGTTGGATTACAAGCACCACCAAGAAAAACTAAAAAAAATAAAGGTTGGCAAATGGAAAGTGAAAAGCGGGAAAATGAAAAAGTGAGGAAGGTACCTTCATCAAGACATTTCCCTAGTGATGGGGCCGGTTTTCTGGAAAAAAAAATAAACGTAAAAACATGGATCATGGAAACAATGTTTGTTAGGAAAAGAGCAAAATAAGAATACCCTGGCTCTCAAAACATTAAAAAACAGCCATTAAAACTAGTTGAAAAACGCGTTTTCTGTTTTTCTTCGCTAAAGCCAAATATGGTGCACTCCAAAGGCAAATCATGGCGATTCCAAAATATACCAGAACTGACGGAAGACTTGTACTTACTTAGCTGCTTCAACGGGACAGAGCGTTTCAAGAACCTTTCTTTTTGACAAAACGCTACTCATGATCAGTTGGAAATATGAAAAAATGCCGAAACACACGGACCGCCAGAGCCATCCAAGGCCATAAGTAAATCCTGACTGAGCAAGCCGCCTAATTATCAAGGTTAATTGTTTAAAAGGTTATGAGTTAAAATTTTTTGGTTAATATTTTTACACCAAAGCCTACCTCTTTTAACGTCAGCTAAAGAAGAGTAGCAATTTATGAAACAAAAAACTTGGCAGGTACGAAACTTATAATAGATTTGCCAACTGCTCTTATAGGAAAACCAAAGAAGCGAGTAAAATTCCCAAGAACTTATTGTTTCAAAGCTAAATTTTGTGAAATTGTACGAGATTCTCTTATATTGTCACGAATTATCCCTGAAGCTGATGGGAGACATAAAAATAGGGGGAAAGGGATTACTGGTATGCTCCGGAGGCCAGGTCGTCCGCCAAGAGAGCGGTGGTGGAGACCCCAGTAGCCAACTGCTAAAATGGGAAGTTAAACAAGCGACGCTTATCAACTCGATTACTCGATTCATCTCGGGCTTACTACAAGTAGATGAAAAGTAATCTTCAACCTGGTTGTTTTTTTAGCCACCTGCAAAAAATTTGATTTTGTGCTTAAGTATTCACTGCAGTTAAATCAATGCTTTCTATTGAGGTATTTCTCATTCATTCGTGACAATAAATAGATCCCGTAGGTAATTTTTAGTATTGTAATCAATGTGTCAGTCTTATTTTTGGTAAAATAATCACTTTTATTGTAACTTTGAGAAGTGTACTTAGGAAGTTCGATGCTTATCCAAAAGTTTCATAACCACTGAAATGTAGCTCAAAAAAACCCTGGCCTAGCTAAGTGACCTGCTAAACCGTGGCTCTACTATTCTTTTACTTTTAAGGCCAGGTAAGAGGATTCAAGGACGTTCCACTTCTCCAAACTCATTCGTTTCAAGTAGGTTTGTATTTTCGATTCCGCTTCCTTCCCAGACCGCCTTTCATGCGTCAGTGAAATATTACAGGTATTCGACGATGGCCAAACTTTATGTGTTGTCCAGTTTAGCCTGTTTTAACTTGCAGGCGCGTGAAAGGTGGATACAATGCCTTGTGTGCGTAGATATTCGCTGATCTATCAGAACATCAAACCAGCCTGGACGTTATTAAAATGTCGGCTGAACGTGCTATAGACTGTATAGTGTCTGCCTTGCAAATAGAGCCACTTTTATTATGTTTTGTGATTTGTTTGTAATAAAACAACATTTCTTACTTAAAAATGTCAAGTAAATAAAAATAATATTGATTAGACCCTAGCGGAGCGCTCACTACGCGCCACACACTTCTGAGGGTTTCACCACTTCTCGCTTAGAAGACTGCGGCTTTTAAGCGGGGTCAACAGGAGGCAGAATTGTTCACCTGCCTATTCACACGCACAAGAAACAAAAAAATTGTACAATCTTGTGTTTATAGCTAAATTAAGCTGTGCCTGCAATTTCGATGCCCCCTTGCCTACACTGCCATTATACTACCAACACATTAACGTACGACTACGAAAACCACTCAGAGAATAGACCCACCAATGACGAAAGTGATGGTAATGGTAGCAGCATTAATTCTTTCTCGTCACCTCTTTTTGCGCAACCTCAACTCGGAAAAGAGTCGTTTAAAAAGAGGGGTTAGGGACTGCAAGCTGTTTCAGGTCTGAAAGACGTTTTTTTGGATTTCTTTTTTTCAAGAGAAGGGTTTCTTGCAATTTGTAACTATCACCGAAGAGTACCGACACCTTACACTGTCTTTTTCAACCCAATTTAACTCTGCAATAGCCTTTCAAATGTTTGAATAGTTCCACTTCAGCTTTGGATCATTTTAGGAAATGCCTTCCGTTTTGAAAACACCCCAATGGGTCTCTTGTGAGGCAAATTGCTGTGGACAGACTCGTCAAGCGCCTGAAGTCATGTCTGACGCGAGTTTTATGAACTATCTCAGCTAAGAAGAGGATCGTGAATGTCTCCTACACTGTCAGGTGATATTATATCAAGAAACTAGACTTGCCCTTCTTAATCCTTACACCTCATAAGTACTGCTTATTGACAGACCTATCAAGAGGATATGATTCTTATATTCAAACGTTTGTGAAGTGAACAAACAATAGGATCAATTACCCCAAAAGCACTTCTGGACCACTCACCACTTCTGTTTAGAAAACCACGCTTGTCTTTTCTGTTGTGTGTGATGATGTGATAAACAAATAAATGAATGAATAAATAACTAAATTTCTCACTAAATGCCAAGCAATTTGTATCTGACATCCACCAAGTGCATGCAATACAAAACAACGGCATCGAGGCGAAGGAAGTCCTTTGCATGAGAAGTAGACAGAAAGTGAAGTGGTCCAGTAAGGAGTGCAAAATTATCCACCTCTGCTCCCGTGACCGTGCAAGACCTTATGCCACAATACTGACCCGCGAGATTTGCATTCACTCCTCTTTTATGTTTCTGCACATCATTTCACCAGCTGAGAAATCTCCTCTCGGGGCTAAAAAATCACGAGATAAATTAGACGACAATTACTTCAAATCTTGCCGCGTTGAGAAACAGGCGGCGGATTTGCCATTAAATGGATAGCTACCGAAGAGGTCAGGCTGTGAATTTTCGCGCTGGACATTTCGCTTTAATGATCGACAAATTTGCTTTGAGGTTGACCGTTTTCCTTCAGGCAGCAGGTTAACTAATTAGTGAAGTGCGCACTTATGTTACCGTCTTTACTCCGACGTGACAAAGCTTTAACATAAAATTTTCACCTTTTCGGAGTGATTTGAAAATCCGATGGCCATCTGACACACCACACGATAGGCCATGAACACTCATTATCCTCTGCTTCCATTTCTTTGGTGTGTTAGTACACATGAGTTAAGAGGGTGGAAAGAGGGATTGGATCCGCGGAATGATTTGCATGACTGTGGCAACAGGAGTCCTCCCCGAAGCCATACCGGCATTAAAGAAGAAGCTATTGACAGGCACGACATGACAGTAAGGTAACACTGTCAAGTCAAAGGCACAAATAAAGGAGACTGGTGAGCTGGTGTAGGTAAAGAATATTAGACCACAACATGGTAACTTGCTTTGTTTCATCGTTATGCTTAGCACTCCTTGCGATCATTGGACAAGGACCGAAGGTGACGCAACATATCCATATCATGAAGTCAGACCCAGATTTTCGAATACCTCGTTCTTATCAAGGTAAAGTGACTCAAAAAAGAGTCTGTTTGGGCCAAAGTGCTTAAGACTGATTGACATTTGTTCTACAGGAGACCTGCTTCCTTTCTACATTCAGCAGTCAACTAGCACACTCTAAGGCAACGATCAAATCGGTTCGTTTGGAGAAACATGGCCTAATGATGATGTGATGAAGCTTGATCTCGCCCTCAAGATGGAGGAACCACGTAGCCAGTTTCCCAGACTCTTTCGCCTACTTCATATGCACAGATTTAGCAAATGGGATTTACTTCAAACTGATAAGCAGTACTATAAATTACGACGATTTAATAGCCCACGCAGCAGCCTGAACATCAAACACATGTCAATTTACTTTGCAGAATTATTCTACAACTTAATTTTTCAGACGAGAGTAACAGATAAATGAACCTTTTTAAAAAGATCCGATTACTGTGAATGTGAGCAACCATTGAATGGCTATATTTCTTGACCTTACAAAGCCTAATTAACTCGATGTAAGGCCTACATAAGTGCTGGGCTTTCTATTCCACGAGATGAATTATCCAACACACCTTTACCTTTGCATTTGACAAAGCAACATAGCAAAGGCGAATATTACCGAAAACAAGTAGAGCAGAACGGACGGAACGACTTTTGCCGTTAACGGCGCTTTCAAGACAGACTGATAATCCACAGTTCCCAATTTGCATAAGGACCACTCTTTCCCTGTCGCCTTTAAAATACACCAAAAAAACCTATGTTCCTCCACCAAATGGAGAACAGACATGGTGGAGATTCATCCACTCTGTCCCCTGTGTACTTATAGGCGTTTTTATTAACAAGTAAATTACATGTGAAAAAAGGTAAACAGAACGAGAGGGAGGGGAAATGTGCCCAGCGGAAGAAGGGAAGAGAAATTTGACCATAAAAAAAGACATACGTGTACACACACCAAATGGGTGACATCAAAAGCAAATCACAGAATAGAGAAAAAAATAATCCGCATACAGACATCCTTACTGTCGTTAAAATAAGGTGGAGAAAAGGTCCTTGATGTCTTCCACCGGCCGGGAAAGAAGAAGGCCTCTTCCATCTCCCCTTTCAACGGCCTCTTCAAGGAGAGCTTTAAGGTAGTTACGCGACCGATTGTGATCCTTCACAGCTATCGGCGACAGGCCACACACTTCATTACCACCAAAAACGACTACAGAAGGAGTAGATGGGAGAGAAAT